ATTGTTGTGATTGCATTGCTGTTGTGTTGGCAGATAGGGTGTTGAGGTTAAACCTTCCAGTAGTTGAGCCCCTCAGATATTTCTTTTTCTTTCACTCAAATCCTTTATGTGTTTTCATGTTCTGCCTTGTGAATAGATAGGAAATAACTTCAAGGACAGGGTGATTTACAGATTTTGACCTAGACTATTTCAAGAGATACGGAATGGATATATGTTTGTGTCATCATCATTTAAGAGATATTACTACATGAAAATTGTAGGAAAACGGGAACTTTGGATTGAAAATTGGTGGATATATAATTGAGAATTGTCTTATTATTAGAATATACATGTGTATAAACCTATGTGTGTGTGTATGTATCACAGAGATATGATCATCCACCTGAAATTTTGTTTTGTCAAAAATTGGTTGCTATATGATCTCTACAACAAAATCGGTTGAGGGGTGAACTTCATACCCTGGCAGCGTGAGTCCTTGAAAAAAATTACTTAATTTCTCCATTCCAAGGTTTATGTCTCACATGATTAAATGAGGGAATGCATTTCAAGGCCTAACACAGTGCCTGGTTCGTAGTTTTTCCTCAATAAATTGTGTCGACAGAGTAATTGATAGAGCATCGATCCCCATAGCCTCCCCTCCTTTATCACCCATCGCATTCCCCACCACTCAAACTTGAGTTTTCTTGTACAACCAAGGTTATTTGTGAATGCAGTATGAGATAGCCACACAGTGGGTAAATATTTTATACTCTGAGTCCCAGGAGTCCCCCTTGTTCTGCCTGCTAACCTCTTCCATTTCAGGATTATGTCTTAGGGCAGGTTTTGTGTAATAAACATGACTATCCAAACGGTCCCGTGATGTACAGAAGAAAGAGCTGGACAGTGGAATCCAATAGGGTGGGATTCAAAGGTCGGCTTTATGAACTTCATCAAGGTATTTAGTCTAATGTAAGTTTTTATCCTTATTTTCAAAATATGGTAATCACAGTCAATACTCAGTGGGGTTGTATGGATTGAATGAGCAGAACTTCCAGGCACATGTGACACCAAAGAAAACAAAAAATCATTCCAGGGCTTGATGTGAAACACAAGGTAATTGGCTCTACTCAGCATACCCTATGCTGTTCTAGTCAATCTTAAAAGCCGTTAGTAAAAATATTATTGCATGCATTTTACATGTTCACTTCTGTTCCTCAGGATCTTGCACATCTTACTTTGCAGTGTCTGTGTGTCTTGGGGTGTCTTCTCTACAGCTTTCCTCTCTTGAGTTTTCTGCCAGTGTTCATCCCACAGAGTTTCGTTTGGGTTTTATAATCCATTTCATCTCTCCTCTAATGTTTCATTCCCTCTCCTCCTGGGGCACCTCTGAAATCTTACATATGGTTCAGCCATTTTACACTTCCTAAAACATTTAAACCCTTGATTAAATAAATATCTGCTCAAAAGAGCATAAAATACTTTGATTAAGTACATAAACACTCAGAAACACATACAGTTCTTATAAACACTTTATGTACTACATTAAGTTCAAAATTGGTGACACATGTTTAATGTCACATTTGAACAAACACAAAGCTTAATGTGAAAAAGATTAAGTAAATAAGTGTCAGAAACACACTTTTTATAATGGAGCACAACCTATCACCTGCCAGGAACAGTATTTATAAATTATTGGGTATGGTCTGTGTGATTACTCATTGATTGCCTATTATTTTGAAAAATTTTATAAAGTTCATCACTAATTCATCACAAAAAATTAGCAAACTGGAAAAAAGGAATGTCTTTACCTTGTTAAAGGCTTTTGCTGAGCCTTTGAAATATCATGCTTAAATATGACATTGTGAAAGTGGTCCTATTAAAATTACGCAGAAAGCAAGTGTGCTCATCATCATTCTTACTACTGAATATTTATCAGAACTCTGAGACAAGGCAAAAGTTTATATAACAATTGGGAAAGAAGAGCTAAAATTACCATTTATTTTCATGAAATAGGATTTAATTTATAAAAAGTCCAAAAATATCTATAAAGTATTAAAAGCAATAAGATGACAATAAGAATGCCACTGACAAGCAAGTGTCCAAACCAGTGTTCTCATCTACCACTAACCGCCAATGAAATAGGATACGTTATGACACAGAATAGCAAGAACTATCATAAAGTATGTAAGTAAATTTAAAAATTTGAGCACAATTCTATTACAATACAATTTGGAATTTATTAACCTAAATTAAAAAAAAAGTTAAGCTAATGTTTCTGAATTATTAGACTCAACGCCATAAAGATGTCAGATAACACTAAATTAATTTCTAAAATCAATGCAATTTAAATTGGAATCCCTCTCGGGTATATTATGGAACTTGACAAATTGATCTTAAAGTTCTATGGAACCATAAGAATATCTAGTAAGTAAAATTATCTATGATGTATTTGAAGAACAAAGTTGGGCAATTGGTTCTCTCATATATCAAAGCTATTTTAACAGTAAGTTAAATAGGACCACATGCTATAGAGACAATAACAGACAAATTGGCCACTGGAACAGAATAGAAAACCCGTAGACACACACACACACACACACTCACACACACATACACTAGGGCAGAGGTTGCATTACAACCAAGTGGGAAGCAGCTATATTGCTCATTAAATGATGAAAGGAACATCGATTTTCTTTATGGAAAAGTAGATCTCTGTGTCATACCATGGACAAAAACAAATTTCACATATATTAAAAGTGTAAGTATTACAATGGTAGAAGTGGAATGAATTATTTAATGGAGATGAAAAACAACTCAAAAATAAAATTGATAAATAAAATAAATAACTTCTGCTAGAAAGACAATATACACAAATTTAAAAGATAAGCCATAGCCTTTGAGAAGATATTTGCCATGTATGTTGGATAAAGATTTAATGTCCAGAAAACATTATATACCACTACATATTATTTTCTTTTTAAAAACAAAAACCATCACCCCACACCGACACAAAATGGGCAAATCATTTTAATAGATAATTCACAAAATAATAGATTTGAATGAATAAAAATGATGTAAAAGTACACATCATCATATAAAGGTAAATAAAAAATGAAATACTGTCTCAGACATCTGATTTCTAAAAAATAGAGTCTGATGATACCAAGGCAGGAGAAAGTATGAAGAGAAAATCTCATAAACACTAATAATTAATTTATAGATGCATATACCCTATAAACCAGTGATTCTAATCCTCAGTTTATTTATTTATTTATTTATTTATTATTTATTTATTTATTTATTTATTTTTTAAAGATTTTATTTATTCATTTGAGACACAGAGATACAGAGAGAGAGAGAGCATGAGCAGGGAGAGAGGCAGAGGGAGAGGGAGAAGCAGGCTCCCCACTGAGCCAGGAGCCCGATGCGGGGCTTGATCCCAGGACCCTCAGATCTTAACCATCTGAGCCACCCAGGCGCCCCTAATCCTCAGTTTAATTACTAAGAAGAAGCTTTGGTTCTAAACGTCACATTCTGAGTTTCTGGGTGGACAAATGGGAGACACTATTCAGCCTAGTATATTATACAAAGGGAAATGCATAACAAGAAAGTTTATCACAGCACTGTTTGCCATGGGGATAATTTAAAACAACAAAATCTCCATTAGTATACCAGTGAATAATAAATAATGACACAAGCAATGGAGTTTGTACAGTTTATTAAAATGATGTACAGCCACAAAAATCATTTTGACCTATGGATGTCAAAATTGATAAATCTTAAGAACATACCATAGATTAAAAAAAGAACATTGTAGAATATTTAGCAATATGACAATATCTGATGTATAAGTGTGACAAATATACAAAACAGGATATAGTTGATACATATAAAATAAAATATACATATATGTGGGGTTACTTGCACATTGATTTTAAGATAGTGATTATCTAGGTGCGCCTGGGTGGCTCAGTTGGTTAAGCATCTGACTCTGGATTTCAGCTCAGGTCCTGATCTCACTGTTGTGAGATTGAGCCCCATGCTGGGCTCCAGGCTGGCTGTAGAGTCTGCTTAACATTCTCTCTCTCCCTCTCCTTCTGCCCCTCCCCCATCTCTCCCTCTCTTAAAAAAAACAGTGATTATCTCTAAAGGGGGAAGGTGGAGAAAATGAGATCAGAAGTCAATGAATGCTTCAAATATATTTGTAACATTTTCTTTAAATGGGGGATAATTGGAACAAATGTGGCAAAATGTTAACATCTAATGCATTTGAATTGCTAATATAGAGGAGAGTCTCTCAACCTCTGTACTCTTGGTATTCTGGGCAACAGTCTTTGTGCACTGTAGGATATTTAGATGTTTAGCAGCCTCTCTGGCCTCTATCCCCTAATGCCAGTCAGTAGCAAACCTCTCCCCATGCCCACAGTTATGACAACCAAAATGTTGCCAAACATTTTGCTCGGGCGGGGGGAGGAATTAACTCTGGTTGAGAACCACTGGTATAAAATATTTACTAAGTCCTTCTTTTTATATTTCTGTATATTTGAAATATTTCATTATATCTTATGCCAAAATATAAAAATATATATGTATATTTCCTGCATACTAAGTTTTCGTAGACAATTATAGGCTATGTTAGCATGCATAAAGTATGCCATGTTATAACTGACAGAATTTTTAAATCAAATTTCTTGAGGTAGAATTTAGATACAATAAATGAATACCCCCCAAAAATACAAACAATAAATAAAAAGGCTTAAGTAACCAATACAATTTTTTATTAATTTTGTGTGAATCGTTTAGGAAAGACTGCACCAAAGAAAATTTGGTTCCAAAGAAACCAAAGAAAGTTCAGTTTCACCTTAAAGGATGTATAGGATTTTACAAGTTTGAAAAGTGGTGGAAGAGCGGTTGTGTGAGGGGAAGTAGTCTGTGTGGAGGCCACTACGCTCTCCCCGCAACACCCCGTACTCGCCACCGTGAGCAGCACCTCAGCCAAGATTGCAGAGATAGAAGCCGAGATGGCTCAGACTCAAAAGAACAAGGCCACAGCACACCACCTAGGGCTGCTTAAGGCTCGCCTTGCTAAGCTTCGTAGAGAGCTCATTACCCCAAAAGGTGGTGGTGGTGGTGGGCCAGGAGAAGGTTCTGATGTGGCCAAGACAGGTGATGCTCGAATTGGGTTTGTGGGTTTTCCATCAGTGGGGAAGTCAACACTGCTTAGTAACCTGGCAGGGGTATATTCTGAGGTGGCAGCCTATGAGTTCACTACTCTGACCACTGTGCCTGGTGTCATCAGATACAAAGGTGCCAAGATCCAGCTCCTGGATCTTCCAGGTATCCTTGAGGGTGCCAAGGATGGGAAAGGTAGAGGCTGTCAAGTCATTGCAGTGGCCCGAACATGTAACTTGATCCTGATTGTTCTGGATGTCCTGAAACCCTTGGGACACAAAAAGATAATTGAAAATGAGCTGGAAGGCTTTGGCATTCGCTTGAACAGCAAACCCCCCAACACTGGCTTTAAGAAGAAGGATAAAGGAGGCATTAATCTCACGGCCACTTGCCCTCAGAGTGAGCTGGATGCTGAAACTGTGAAGAGCATTCTGGCTGAATACAAAATTCCCAATGCTGATGTGACACCGCCTAGTGATGCCACAGCGGATGACCTCATCGACGTGGTAGAAGGAAACAGAGTTTATATCCCTTGTATCTATGTGTTGAGTAAGATTGATCAGATCTCCATTGAGGAATTGGATATCATCTATAAGGTGCCTCACTGTGTACCCATCTCTGCCCATCACCGCTGGAATTTTGATGACCTCTTGGAAAAGATCCAGGACTATCTGAAACTAGTAAGGATTTACACCAAACCCAAAGCCCAGTTGCCAGATTATACATCCCCAGTGGTGCTGCCTTACTCTAGGACTATAATGGAAGATTTCTGCATGAAGATTCACAAAAATCTTACCAAAGAATTTAAATACGCTCTGGTCTGGGGTCTGTCTGTGAAACACAATCCTCAAAAAGTGGGTAAAGATCATACATTGGAGGATGAGGATGTCATTCAGATTGTGAAGAAGTGAAACCTTCCCCTCTACCCATGTGCTGGGCCAACCATAGCAGCTTTTCCCATGACCAAGCACTTTACCCCAAACCCCTTCAAGCTTTGGCAGCCAGTGGATCAGGATTCAGGGGAGGGAGATGAAGGCATCCAAGCTGGAACTTTGTCTTAATTTGGTGTCACCTTGTAAATCCAACTGCATAAAGCACCTGGTAGGCCATCCAGCTATATGCAAAAAAAAAAAAAAAAAAAAGTGGTGGAAGAAGAGCATGATACGTAGAATGAAGAGCAAGGAGGTAGAAACTGTGTAATAATTTTATGGAAGGGTGAGTTCCTTTATGAAATCAAAACACAGGGCAGAGGTGTCAAATTTTAATGCCTTCTATGGTGGCAGGATATATGTGTGGAGCAAATTAGGAGCAGTAAGGAAATTGGGAGCAGTGCGGCATATCAAAATTGGAAGGAACATCTAGAGTGAAGATTTAGTCCACATGTTTAATGATCTCTGTTTTCAAATTATGGAGGGGACTAACCTGATATGAGGCTCGTAAGGAATGACTGATATCATTAAAAAATAAAATTAATATTCCTATAGAATGTTAACATGTTAAAAATTAGCTTGAGAGATCAACAACATCATGGATTAGAAGTCTTACTATGGTTAGTATGGCAATTCTCCAGAAATTGATTTATAGATTAAATGCAGTGCCACATATATTTTAGAAATTGACAAGCTGATTCTCAAACTCCACATAAAAATATAAAGTATCTAGAATATCCAAATCAATCTTATAAAGAACTTATACTACATGTCTTTGAGAGTTACTATAAAGCCACATAATCAAGAAATGTGGTGCAAGAACAGCATAAAGACCAGTAAGACAGGGAAGCTGGGTGGCTCAGTTGGTTAAACGTCTGCTTTCACCTTAGATCATGATCCCAGAGTCCTGGGATCGAGTCTCACTTCAGGCTCCTTGCTCAGCTGGGAGTCTGCTGTCCCCTTGCCTGCTCCACTCCCTGCTTGTGCTCTCTCTCTCTTTCTGACAAATATATAAATAAATTATTTAAAAAAAAATTAAAAAACACCAGTAGGACAGAATAGAGCCCAACAAGAGGCACAATCATTCAGTCTTTTGATTTTCTACAAAGATGCCTGTGTAGTCAATTTTTTTGTCTTTTCAACCAATTATACTGGAATAAAGAAATACTATACTGTTTCCTGTACGTTGTAACATATACAAAAATTAATTCAGGATGCATCATAGATCTAAACATAGAAACCTAAAAACCTTTAACTTTTTGGAGGAAAACATCAGCATTTCTTTATGATTTCAGTCTATGTAAAGGTTTCTTAGGCCAGAGACAAAAGAAAAAAAAATTATAGTGAAAGAACAAATTGACAAATTTAGACTTCATCAACAATTAAAATCAAATTTAAAAATGTTTTCTCAAAAAAAAGGACACCATTAATAAAAATAATAGGAATGCCACAGATACAGAGAAAATATTTTCAGAAATAATAAGTGTTGGGATGCCTGGGTGGCTCAGTTGGTTAAGCTTCCGCCTTTGGCTCGGGTCATGATCCCAGGGTCCTGGGATCCAGCCCTGCATCCAGGCTCCCTGCTCATCAGGCCTGCTTCTTCCTCTCCGTGCCACTCCCCCTGCTTGTGAGTGCTTGCTCGCACTCTCTGACAAATAAAAAATTAACAAGTGTTGGTGGAAATGTGGAGAAAATGGAACTCTTGTGCACTCTTGGTGGGAATGCAAACTGGTGCAATCACCATAGAAAACAGTATGAAGATTCCTCAAAAAAATAGACCAATTGATCCATATGATACAATAATTCCATTACTAGGTATTTACTCAAAGAAAACTAAAACACTAATTTGAAAACATATATGCACGCTATGTTTATTGCAGCATTATTTACAAGAGCCAAGATATGGAAGCAACCTAAGTGTGCACTGTTAGATGAATGGATAAGGAAGATGTATACACACACACACACACACACACACACACCTGATGTCACACTATGTAGCCATAAAAAGGATGGGATCATGCTATTTGCAACAACATGGATGGACCTAGAGGGTATTATGTGAAGTGAAATAAGTCAGACTGAGAAAAACAAATACCATACGATTTTACTCATTTGTGGAATCTAAAAAACAAAACAAATAAATAAACAAATGAATAGCAGAATCAGACACGTAAATACAGAGAATAAAATGATGGTTGCCAGAGGGGAAGCACTGGGGGATGGGCAAAATATGAAGGGGAATGAGAGATATAAGCTTCTTGTTATGAAATGAATAAGTAACAGGAATAAAGACATAGAATAAGGAATATAGTCAATGATGTTGTAACAGTGTTGTATGGTGGCAGATGGTAGCTACACTTGTGGTGAGCCTAACACTTAGAAAAGTTGAATCACTACGTTGTACACCTGAAACTAATACAACATTGTGTGTCAACTAACTCAAATAAAAACAAATTTTTGGGGGTGCCTGGGTGGCTCAGTCGGTTAAGTGTCTGCCTTTGGCTCAGATCATGATCTCAGGGTCCTGGGATAGAGCCCCACTTAGGGGGGGGTCCCTGTTCAGTGGGGGGTCTTCTTCTTCCTCTCCCTTTGCCCTTCCCCCCAATCATGCTCTATCTCTCTCAAATAAATAAATAAAATCTTAAAAAAATAAAGATAAAATAGAATAAAAAACCAAAATTTTGAAAAGAATATATATCTGACCAAACACCAGTATTCAGGATACATATGTAACTTCTATAACTTATTAATAAAAAGACAAACCAACCAAATAAAAAAAGAACAAAAAGTTGGACATGACACAAAGAAATCTGTAGGAATAGCCAATGGACACTTGAAAATATGTTTACAATACTGTAATCTGGAAAATGGCAATTAAAAAAAAAAAAACCAAACAGGACACAGCATACACCTGCCAACAATAACAGCAAATGTGGAGAGTAAGTGGATAAATTGCAATTCTCACACTTTGTTGGTAGGAGTGTAAAGTGGTAAAACCACTTTAGAAACAGGTTTTGTAATTTAAAATTTTTATTTATCCTGAAATGTGTTCTCTATTAAAGAAAGATCTATAGGTGCTTCTTGTTTCTGCATCACTGGGAATATTTCATGTACACCATTTAAAAACTTCCCACACTAGTCGTGTTGTATTTAACATGTTAATTTAATGCCTAAAGAAATGCCAATTATAAAATCATGCAAGCCTTCAGTGCACACATGAGTTTTCATATAGTTTGAGGGTGTTCCAAGATATGCACAATTAGAATTAAAATAAAAATTTTGGAGTAAATAGTCATATTCATATCTTTTTAATCCATATACTCAACAGTCATTGTTAGATACAAAACATACACTCTTTTTTATATTTAAATAGATAACATATGATAATTCTTCACTAAATGACATATGCCTTTAAATACCATAAAATTCCAAGAAGGCAAAAATTTTGTCTTGCTTAAGGTTGTTTCCCCAGTGCCTAGAATAATATCTAGCACATGATAAAAACGCAATGGATATTTGTTGAATGAAGGGATATGACCGTCAGAGTATAATATTTGCAAGACTATGAATGTTTATGAGTTTACTATTTGTGTGTCTTCATAAAAATTGACATTTTAAGAGGCTATGTGGCTTGCTGAATATCTAGAGTTAATATATATTATTTTGCTAGGAATTAAAGACTTTTTTAAAAAATCTGGGTAGATTTGTTTAGGTGCTGTAGAATTTTACTTCAAATGTCCTATAAAGCATAAATTTGTATTTACATCTTTTAATAACGCATGCTGAATTATAATTTGGGGACACAAAAGCTTATATAAATTCTTGGTGAATTTTATATGTGCCCATTTCCTATTCAAATGATTTTCACAGCTTATGGGGCCTTCAGTTAGATGCAATCACTCTTTATGTTTCATGGCTATGGAATAAGATCTGAGAGAGATGCATTTTCCCCCACCAATTAATTTCTGTCCTTATAGGTTAGTGCTGTGTTTTTAATATGTTAGGACCTGTATTTTGTCAATGCTGCTTCTTTTAATACCTGTTATTTTCCACAGTATTATTAGGAATCAAAATTTTTGATTCTTTTATTCAGTATTTCCAAAATTACATATTTACATATCAGGAAGTCGGTTGTTTCCTTTGTCATTTTTGGACGATTATACATTCACAAAGATTGAATCTCACTTTTAAACGTCAGATTCTGATTCTGCAAATGTGTTTGACTCTCCCTTCTCCTGATCAGTGAAGGTTTTTGGTAGAAAGCCAAGACAGGAAATGACTGCTTTCATGTCAGATTTAGGAAACATATATCTGGCTTGAGAAGTGCCCAACAATGAATCTGCAAATAGCTCTTACAGTTAGAAGAAAAGAACTTAACAGGGTTTGCCATGATTACACTTCAAAAATAAAGTTTAAAAATAGGATGTTTCTAATAATTTAAGTTAAATATTCTCATTATAAAAAATAGGAGGGAAAATAAAATGGCATAGGAAGGCGGTGAAAGACCCCAAGTAAAGCCACTGTTAACACTGGTATACAACATTCTTATTACCTATCCATTTATCTAATAAATTAACATCATATTTTATTTACTATTTTGCTATTTGAATATATTTTTCATTTAGCAATAACGTGAGTGATTAAATATTCATCTGTAAGATGATTTTAAATGACATTTTAGTATTGCATTAGTTGGATGTAGAGTCCAATCACTGACTATGACATCTTTTATCTGTTTCTTTCTTTCTTTTTTTTTTTTAAAGATTTTATTTATTTATTTGAGAGAGAGAGAATGAGGGAGAACACATGAGAGGGGATAGGGTCAGAGGGCAAAGCAGATTCCCTGCCGAGCAGGGAGCCCGATGCGGCACTCGATCCAGGGACTCCAGGATCATGACCTGAGCCGAAGGCAGTCGCTTAACCAACTGAGCCACCCAGGCGCCCCCTTTTATCTGTTTCTGATTGTAATGAGGATCCCT